TTTTATAATTAGGCTTTTTTTTGCTCACCGTGTATCAAAACGTAGTCAACCACTACCGAGTCAAGATCACACACCCACGAAAATTCTCCATTTCCGGAAATTTTTCAATTATGTACGAGGCGTGTCGATTATATGTAAAAATATTTAGAAGACCCTGTAAATTATTTGCCGTTACTGAAAAACTATAAAACTTATAAAAATTTGGTCCAAACAGTATCGTAAATTGTGACGAGAGAGGTTTCAGGTTTCATCTATCATACAGGGTGCGCAAGATACTTGGAATAATATCATTGGAATTCGTTATTACTTATGACAGCCCCCAGAATAGTGATTATTTTCATATTGACTGTTTCAAATTTCTCGAGCAGCGTCTGTGATAGACGAAAAGCGCAAATACAAAAATTGTAGCTCTTGATACGGTTTGAACCGATTGGCCATATTTTTTACGATTTTTGATTTAAGTGTTTGTTTAAATATGCTAGGATCTGTTTTTTTTTTTACTTTTGCATTTGTTGCTCTTGAAATACTTTACCAACTTTGCCTACGGACTATTGTTCCAAAAGAAGTGTTGTGAGGCATTCATTTTAATTATTCTGTTTTTTTTTTTGTTCGTTCTTTCGCTTATCTTTTTCAGCGACGCCGATAAATTTGTTTTATATTTGAGTTTTTTTTTTATGACTCACCGTGTATCAAAACATAGTCAACCACTAACGAGCCAATATCACACACCCACGAAAATTGTCGCAAAATCTAAAATCCAAAAAAATTCGTCTCCGTAAAGAGCGCGCACGAACTCTGTACGCGAGAGCTTCCGTCAGAAACAGTCGCGTCGCGTCGCCAGACGTCGCGGCGCTGTCCGGAACCCTACTGAATGAGCGACGTCGTCTGCGAGCGACGCCGAGGCACCGAGACGCTCAAAACTGTGTGGGGTTGCTTTGGCGGCGCCGTATTTTCGACGGTTAAAATAGTGGAACACACCACATACAATTCGGATATCTGGGCTAACACGGTCGGAAACTAGCGTAAACAATACGATTTCTTTTGAATGGGAGTTCGGTTTTTGACTTTGTTTCGGAACTGCCGGTCGGGGAGCGCGTATTAGGTTAAAGTACTGCGGAGCGACATTTGCTCGAAATTGTTTTATTTACTCGCCTAAAGCTGTAGTTTGTTATTTTATTTTATTGTAATTTTGCACTTTTCGCTTACCCATTGATGGTGTTAACGGTGTTAGAATCTCTTTGTCTTTCTGGACTGTCATTTGATTCTCTGTCAACTTTATTAACCCTAACTGTTGTAGTACTGTTTTATACCATATACAGGGTGTCCCAAAATTAGACTTCAGTATTTTAACCACGTATTCTGTGACCCAAAATAAGGATAAAGTTTATATAAACCAGGGCCCAACACAATTTTTTGTAAATATTTTCGAAAAACGTAAATATTTTCAAATAAAATCGGGTACAGTTACTGAACTTTTTAGGCCCTATTTAACGAACTAAAACTTAGTATTGGATTGTGTTCAGGGGTGGGTAACACAGGGGAGGCGTGGGAAAAATTTGCAATAAATTTTTTGTTTGTCGAATTTTCGTAATTTGGACTGCAGAATTTGATTGCGATGAGCAGTAGAGGCGGACTTTGCCTTGGTGAGCAAGGCAACCTTTTTGAGCACCTTTTTTAAAATGTAAAGTTTATTCATCGATAAATGTCCGAAATTTGGGGGCTCGGGCAGTATTCTAAAAAAATAAAAAATCGCGTCTGCAAGGGTCTACAAAAAAGATCATTTTTCAAAAACCGTTTACGACACCAAAAAAATTATTGAACCAGAAGACGCAGAAAATACGACTCCATAAAATTTTATTCTTGAGAATTCTTGAAAAATATACGGGGTGCGCCGCAAATTAAAAAAAAAACGGAAAAATGAATCCCCCTATTATTAAAAACTGGTCATAACTGAAAGATTATGATTCAGATGTCAATTTCTTTTGCATTGCGAAATAGTCCGCATAGATACCTAAAACTTTTGTATTTAAGGTTTTCACCTATTGAACAGGGTGTTCCCGATATTCCGTGCTAAATGAGAAATGTGTTAAGCGTCCTAAATTTGCAGATATTAACTTCAAATTTACCAGAGAAGTAAAGCTTCGTGTTCACATTTAACAATAGAAATTGGGTGCGATCAAATTTTGCCAAGTATTTTTAAAAAAATTTGATTTTCTTTTTTTTCGTAAATTTGGGTTCCTCCATAATCATTCACGCGAAATGCAGACCAGCAGACGCGGAAGATCCAGTGCAATAACATTTATTTGCCGCATTTTTTCGATTATATACAAGGTTTTCAAATTATAGGCAAAAATCTAAAATATCTAGAAAATTGTTCTTTTACAGAATTAACCGTAAATCAAAAATCGTAAAAAATAAGGCTAATCCGTTCAAACAGTATCATAGGCCACATCAAGAGCTACAATTTTTTTATTTGCGGTTTTCATATATCACATGCTGCTCGGGAGATTTGAAAAAAAAAATGAATGAAAAAATTCATATGAATATCCCTGATTCGGGGGCTCAGTCAAGACGCGATGAAGTCATTGATTATGACGGCGCACCCCATGGTTTCAGGAAATACTTATTTTCTCGAAAACCATTTACTATTTTGGAAAAATTCTTTGATCAGGAAACGTGGATGAGCAAAGACTATAACCTCCATTTGCGGAATTTGTTCAGTTTTGTACAGGGTGTGTCAATTATGGGAAAAAAATCTAAAAGACCCTAAAAATGGCCGTTTTCGTGGATAAATTATTACCTGTAAATGAAAAGCTATAAAACATGGGATAATTTAGTTTAAGCAGTCTCGAATACTGTGTCGAGAGAGAAAGAGAGAGAGAGAGAGAGTTTCAGGTTTCGTCTATCATACAGGGTGCGCGAGATACTTGGACTAATATCATTGGAAATCGTTATTACTTGAACATTTTTTTTTATTTATCAAACTTTGTCGTGATTTTGAAATTGGACAATAAGTAAGAGACGCTTTATACAGGGTGTGTACACAATATAATTACTTCGATTTTGCGAAAGCGAGAGGATCCTGTATAGTCAGATAAGGGAACACTTGATACCTGTAAGCTAGTACCAAAAACTCAGTCAAGATTTCGTGAAGTGAGTATAGCAGAGTGGATATATTATTGGTTTCAATTCAGTGTTTCTTAAAAATTACCATTAATAACACTGGTCTGCAAAAAAAAAAAAAATTCTCTCCTTCTTGTTTTCATGCATGAATTCATCTTATTTGATGCTCTAAGCACACATTCTGATATTTAAATATAAAAGTACCACAAGTAGGTTTTTAATTTAATATTTATTTCATCAAAAAACAATATTATTAAAGTATAAATTATTATAAGGAAATAAAAAATGTGGCGGCTTGAGTTTTACAGTAAAAAATCCTAAATTATATTAACAAAACTAATAAATATCGTCAGTCATTTCATTATGGAGTGATAGAATTCAAATTATTTAGTAGTTTTCTTCCTCTTCATAGATTCCATTGGAGTTTCTCGGTGAATTGACCAACAGAAATCAAGCATTGCTGCTGACCATTTTCCATTGTAGCGTTTTTCAATTTGCATTATGTCCTGATGAAACCTTTCACCATGCTCATCTGATACAGCTCCAGCATGGATTTGTAACTTTCTTCAAGCCAACCTCTCAACGTTCTTGAGCAGCTATTGCAGCATACTTTTGGCAACCAACTTTTATCTCGCTCATCGATAGAAAATCCAAAATATAGCTTATAAGCTGTTTTAACCAGATCGGTCACGACATGTCGCTGTGCTTTTAGTATGTATTCCCCAAAAATGTAGCAAAAACGATCTGAGGAATTTTTACAAGTCCGTGGCATTTTGTAACCTAAAATCACATAAAATTAATTTTAAAACAACTTTCAAACTTCTATTTTATATTTATTGGCTCTAAATACTCAAACCTCACATCAAATACTTAAATCCAATGTAGAGAACATGAACTTTATGCAAAACTTACAAAAATATTTTATATAAAAGGTAAACAATTAAACGACAAGTTTTCACTGAACTGTTGTAGTGTCACAATGTATACTGCGCATGCGCGTATTTGCTACCATAAAAATCTTACAACTCTCTGAAACTCATTTTGTGTGTATATTTACTGTTTGTAACGTTGAGGAATGAAAAAATTGAAAAAAAAAACAAAATTTTGAAATATAAAAAAAATCATATCGATAAATCTAGACGTGATAGAAAAATCGGCCAACGGGGATGGATTCAAAACGTTTGAATCATTATATTTATCATAAAATTTTTTAAAGGATTTCATTGCCAACCAGTGTAATTATTACATAATTTTAATTGTTTTTCTTATAATTATAATAATCCATGCAGTGTTTGTAAAACACAGAGGATATGGTTTAGACCGTTTGTTGAACGTGTTTTTTTTTAATTAAACAATAACTTTCTTTTATCGATCATTATGTAGAGGAGAACCACCACATCATAAAGTAAAATTTCTTAACTCATACGGCTGTTGAAAATGCTAGTTGTTTTAATACATATATTACGTAAAAATTATTAACAAATTGCACCAACTAACTAAAACAAATTTTCTGATAGCAATGGGTCAATTTTCAGTTGAATAAAGCAACACCGCAACAATAACGATTCAAATTTCAACATATACACATGTACCTCTATAGCAAAATTAGAAAAAATTGGAAAACTATTTTTTTGTGTATTATTGTTTAAGGTAGCTTCTTTTTAATTAAATTATAAAAAACTATTCTTCAATAAATATCAGTTTTGATTTTTATTGTTGAAAGTAATAACTACAGTGTACTATATTATTTTCAACTTCGGGCTAGTGACATCCCTAATCAAAACTCATTTATCATATTTATCTGTTAAATATTTGGTAGTTGAAAACGACCGCCTCACTTCATTTTCGACGAAAATAAATTATGCAAGTGTCTGGTATAAATTAGTATATTACACAGTAAAAAAATAGTCAATCTTATACAAGTAAAACGCCACTACGATCCAAAAGTCGACGGCCCATACGTCCGAACTAAGAGCTGCGAAGTGGGTCCTTCGCCAGTCATCTGCATTGTATTCGTAATGGTACATCCTAACCGGGAAATGGTTATCGGTCATTTCGTGTCCGATATACAAAATGATGGCGTTCATCCCAGCGAAAAGCAGCGGTTTTCCTGACCACCACTTTCGAACGTCTATTAAGAAGTAACAAACCGTTAGCAGGAAAAACGCGAAACAGCACGTCACCAAAACGAAAGACAACGACCTGAAAACAAAGGAAAAAGCTGTAATAAATTGGATTGGCTTCGCTAAAACACCTACCAGAGGTTCTTGTTGACCGGTATGATGCCGTCCTCTTTGGAAAACCCACACAGTCCACCCCCGATTATTCCAAGAATAACCGACCATCCCAACCATCTAACAATTCTATCCGAATGCTTTTTGAACACCAAAAGAGTGACGCCAGCTTGAACGCCCAAGAAGACGTGGAAAATTGTTGTCAGGCAACCTGCAGCGATAAACGGTGGTATCATCGTATATTGCACAATTTTATTTAGAGGAAGAACGGTAGTAATGGGAAATCTTCTCTTTTTCATACACGTCAATAATACTGGCAGTGTAATTAGAGATGGTTTTGGTTCAATCCGCTTTTGTTTTTTGACGGTTCATATGAGAAAGTCCATTATAATATCATTTTAATCATTTATCATTCTTCGAAGAATTGGTTGTGATATTAATATATAATTTCATGCTAGTAATAAATAGAAAGTATTTTTGGAAGTGGTAAGTTCCTTTGTTACATATGGTTGGACCAATGTGCTGGTGCAACATTAGACGTTTGCGAAAACGAAACGTTGCAATTAATTTACTTGAAAATTAGTTTTTGGTGACACTCTGTTGTCGTTTATATCAAAAAGTAGCGACAACTGTGGATTTTCAATTGAAATTTTTATTGCTGGCTTAGTTGAATATTCAGAAAACTTTAATTTTGCCCACTGCTGTAGAGTAATAGGATTTGTGATATACAGGGTGTTTACAGAATTCCTTCTTAAACCAAATTGTCGAGAAGACATTTTTTCAAATGGAAAAGCCAGATTGTTAAGGAACATTCTAGAAGATCATCAAAACCTCTTATAACTAAAATCGTCAAATTTTCAAAATAAATACACCATATTTGTAAGTATATAATAAGCAAGAAAGAAAAGATATAATTTATGAAAACTTCACAACTATAAATATTTTATTAACTAGAGAAAAAGTGAAAAAAAGAACTGAAGTGGATAAAAATCACAATGTATAAAAACAAAACTTAAATTATCTAAGAAGGACTTAAAACTATTTTAGTTTCTTTATTTTAGTATTTCGTTTTTTCTTTGTGATATTTTAAATTCAAATTCCGAAAAATAAATGGCATAAGTGGTTCCAAACTTGGACATAATGTAAATACAGCAATTAAATTTCGCACATTAAAATTTTTATATAACTTTTTCTGTAAATCAAAACATTTGGTTTTCTTTACCATAATTCCGGTCATTATGCCTCTAATTAGACAACTTTCATCCCATTTAATCGACACTGAATATTCAGTAGTTTATAAGTCACCCATACAATCCCATTCAAAATCTAGCGAAAACAAAGTGTACAATGATTAGACTGACTCCAACTATTTCTAAAAATATGTCACGTTCTAGAGAAAGATAAAAAAAATCGTCATTTCAATTATCATTGATGTGCATGGTGTAATGGTGATTGCAGTGTTGTAATTCAGTTGAAAACATTCTAGTGTGCTGCAATAAATCTAGTTTTAATGTTTTATTGCCAGCTGTATATTTCTAATGATGCTACAAATAGAAACGAAAAACATTCGGACTTTTTTTATTTCAAACCATATTCAAAGTCTAAAATAATTTTATAATTTTTTTTTTTCATATTTTACGAACAAAAAAGTTGTGTTTGCAAAATTTCGAATTTCCTTGTACAATGTGTAGCAATTTTGAACTACTGCTAACAATATTGAAAAACACTCACCATACAGTGCTGCATGTTCGTTTAAGACCAAAGTGCCTCAATGAAAGTTTTTTTAATACATTTTAATTATCCATAACAAATTAACATCGAAATGATAAACCGTTTCTGTCTAATCTCGAACCAAGTGGAGTTTTAATTTACAAACCAGTAACAATAGACATGAAGTACTAATTATGAGATTGACTTAGATTTTATAAATGATCTAAAAATGCACAAAATCAAAGGGCATAAGTGATCTAAAATTGGACATCCTATAGACAAAACAACTAAATTTCTAACCTTTAAACTTTTCTATAGCCTTTTTTTCAGTTTCAGGACAATATACATCTATATAATCTTTATAAGTTACTTATACAATCGCATTCCATTCTATAGTTATTCTGCAGTTATACTCATTTATAATGACGTGATAGTTGTAAAAAAAATGTTCTTCATTTTGCAGCAAATTATTGGTTTGCTTGAAAATAATGTATTGATATTTATGGAAAATATAGTGAGAATATAAAGAGTAAAATGATCACACCAACTATTTCTGAAAATATGTCACCGCTGTGTGACACCTGCTACAAATGTCATTACACTATTGCAAAAAGCCACAAGTGCGAGTGTAACTGGTGTAATGGTGATAGCAGTGTACATGCAAAATATAAATTAATGTTGATAATACGAACTAGTGCACCATGTTCTAATGATAACATTTTATATCGATCTTATAGGTGCACATATAAAATAGTGACCACAATACATACTTAGAACTTACCTACGATACCCTCTGGGTCAAAAGGTTTGGCTTCGTAAACGGAATATATAGTGGGTTTCTGGTACGTGTGGTTGCCTAAAAGAAGTCTGTCAATATAGCCCGTCGCTCCGCCGATACACTTCTCGTAGCTTCTGTTCTTGTGCAAACCACCTGGACCGAGGTAACCCCTAAAATTTCAATTATAGAGCGCAAAATACTTTGATAAATCACGATTTATTACCTGGGGCAACCAGGTTCAGCCACTAAAAATATTATTGATGTGTGAACCCCTAGAAGCGTCAATACGATTATCCAGCCTTTCCAAAGTTTCAAAATGTCATCGATAAATTTCTGAAAGATGCAATTGACAATGTAAATGTTAATATTAAAATCAAAATAATGTGAAAATAAAACCCACAATTACTTATAGCTATAAATTAATTGCTGATTTTAAAATAAAAGTCACACAGACAAGTGTCACCTTCAAACTGATATTGTTGTAGATATTTATTCCTGTGTTAATGATCAGAAGCTGATGACCAGAAAAAAAGTTTTAATTTCACGAAGTAGTTTTCTTTTCCGATAATTAGTATTTTTCATAGTTTTTTGTATTCCATTAATTTAAATTGCAGATGCGGTTTGTTTTCAAAAACCTATATTTTCTCTTATTTCTAATTTACAACCTGATCAAATAGCACTAGGACACATATGTACTTATTACGTAATTCACTACGCATCTACAGCTTTGCCAATTCAACTTAAAACAGACTCGAACATTGGAAATTCATGTATTTTCCGGTTTTGCGCAAAATTTCTTAATTGTTTTTTTTTTAATTGTCTTTAATTGTCTTTTTAGAAACGCAAAATGCAAATTAATATTGAAATCTTGATATTGTAAACTTATTTTCACAAAATTATCAGCAGAACCTGTAGAAAATTTTATGAATTACATCCCTATTTGTGTCCTGTTAAAAGTATCTTTAAATGTATTTGGTTGTTGCAACGAAAATTTTCAAAATTATTGTCAAAATTAGAAATTAGTTTTTTTTTTAAAACTGTTTACCAATGTGAAATAGTTTTCAAGCTGGTGCCATAGGGAAATATGTATGAAATAATTTTTTAACTTTTATAACTAAATTTTTATTTTAATTTTGAATCTAAGAAACACGTATCAATGTGCTTAGTGACAGTGACAGTGATAGTGATAGTGACAGTGAAACCTTGTAGATAAATTTTCAAATTTCTTGACGGTAATGTCAAATATATTGAATTGCATTTAAAAAAAGAGATTTACTGTTACTACTTTTACTAGAGGTATGTAAATTTTAACCAATTTATTAACTAGCAAGAAAAGATATGAATTATAGGAAAATGTTATTTAGAAATTTTGCGCAACACGAGAAAACTACTACTAATATACCGGCTTAATAAAAAATACTGGAACGCGTAAATGTCTTCAAAACTGCAAAAGATGGAACAACAAAATTCAATATTTAGCGGTTTTTGAACATGCAGATTTCAAAAACGCTAACAGCGATGTTGTCAGATTTACCACTATTATTTATTTTTGTTGCAACGAATTGTAAGTTTTCATAATTCCAAATTTTGGTTTTCATTAATTACTGAGCTACGGCAACACAGCTTTTTCAGTAGCAAGTGCCAGAACGCTTAAATATCTTCAAAATATCAAAGTTAAAATGATGGAATTGAATACTTGAGGTTTTGAGCATGCAGAATTTAAAAATTCCAAAAGCAATGTTGTCACATTTCGCGATGATATTTATAATTTTGGTAACCTTTCACTGATACACTTATAAAATTTATTATGTTCAAATTCCTCAAAAATTTTGAGGTATTAAGATTTTTTTTATTAAAAGTGCTGTTAGCATTTTTTAATTCTGTATGTTCAAATACTCCCAGATATTGATTTTGCTTTGGCAACTTTGGTGATATTTAAGTGTTCTCATACCATTTGAATTTCAAATTTTCTTATAAACTTTTCCAGAACTTCTAATAGAACATTCAACAATGATTCCCGTTTATAATATAATCCCTTCTATCGATATTTGTTAAACATATGGTTGTAAAAGACTATAAAAATTTTGTGACTCCTAAACAACTAATATATTAATAGTACTTTTAGGAATAAATTTTTAATTTTTTAATGTAATAAGTATCATATAAATCTGATCTCGATGTGAGCTGCTACAAAAGAAAACAGCTTTCATTCTCGAAAATGTGTACTATTTGTCACTATTGAGGTTATGTACCTCATATGACTTGTAAAACCCAGTACCAGAGGACGATCAATATTATTTTACACAAAGGACCACAGAAACTTGACATAACAACAGTTTTTGATCGTCATATATAATTTGTTGATGGTTAAATATACTAACCAATTTAGAATTCGCTTTAACGGTGAGGTCTCGGTCCATAGTGAATACGCAAATGGCACCTACAACAAAGTAGGATACTGCAAACCGCTGTAGGACTCCGAATAATCGTATGTAATTCATATTAGAGCCTCCGGTGAGAAAAATTCCAATAGCGAAGAGCTTCACGGACCTCTGCAACACACAGTCATCAGAAGAAACGCTCCGCTTGGTCGAAAATTTCACCTTCAATATATTGGACATGATAACCCAGCGTGGTACGTTCCGTTTGAAACTCGAGACCAAAGATATCGGAACGCACACGCCCATGATCCACATGAACCATGGAAACACCAGGTCCGCCACGTGTAATCCGTTCCATATTGCGTGGTGCACAAACTGATAGCCGCCGTTTCCAAAATTCGCGAAAATCATAATAGCTATGCTGATTCTGAAAGCCAAATTATGTTAACGTTGATGTTGAGACAACTTCCCATTATACATTATAAATTATTCTATTTGTAGACAGATACTAAAAGCAAAAATGTTTGAAACCACTGTTGTATTAAAGAGATGAAACAGTCTCAGAATTGCTAAAGTAATTATAGCTAACGTTTCAGAACTTTTTTGATTTTAAATTTGAAAATGTAAACAAAGATTTTAATTCCCAATGTACTTTTTGTTAAATATGTAAAACATGAGACGCAGACCTTAAACTGCAAAAATTGCGTCTCAATTAACCTTGTCCGTAGTTCTTCTAGTACCCACTAATAGCTTGAGATGTGCTTTGATATAGTTTGTTTTATTTATTTATTTATTTATTTTAAAAAACCGTCTACAGTACAAATTAGTATAATAGTTAAAGAGACATTGGATGGAATAATTACACCACCAAACTTAACCTTAAATCTAAACTAATATAAGCATTATCTCTAATAAAAAAGAACAAGGAACAATAATGGCCCAAGTATTGAGCCTTGAGGAACGCCCGGAACTGTGAGCGTAGGGAAATGTGAAGATAACAAATTAACAAGCGATTAAGAAAATCTAAAAGTACGAACCTTGCGAATTAGAATTTTGTGATCTAACCTATCAAACGCTTTTGAGAAACCAAGAAATATGAAGTGCACCTGAGAACTTTCATCAATAGCCTTAGACATAGCAGTTAAACTAGTAATGGTGGATCTTACTTTAAAAAATCCATCTTGTTGAGTGACTTTTCTGTTCTTAACAACATGAAATATTTTGTTATGTAAGACGGATTCTAAAAATTTACGGAAATTGCAGTATTTTTATGGCAACAATTATAGACATTTGTCATTTTGTTATATGCCCAGGAATGGCTTCATTTCTCAGATAGATTAGAAATTATGACCAGTGGTTTGGCCAAAACAAAACGATAATCATGTCATAATTAAGTTAGTTTTGATTGTTTTAAGAGTTTTTTACACCTCATGTTCGGAGTATTTCTTCTTATTTGAGAGTGGTATGAATCACTAACACTTTCAAAATTGTTGAAAATCCCGCTTTATAAAATGACTGTCTAAAACACTGTGCAAAATAGTTGAGTATCTTGCCGAGTGGGTAACTTAGTATCATTAAAAGTCATTTAGCTGGGTGCACGTGAGATTTCTCTTTTGTTTTTAATAAACTGCCAAAACATTTCAGGATCTTTTTTAGTGTCATATTCAATTTTTACTAGATTTTATTTTATTTATAGTTTTTATAAGAGTCTCTAATTCCAGATTTCATCTTTGACCTACGACAATTTTGACCTTTTATGACATCCGGATTTCTTTTTCATAATTTACATATTTGAATTAAACCAGCGAGGATACTTTTTATTAGCTGACTTTCCGAAACGAGGAAAAAATAGGTTAGTAATTTCATACAATTTGTCACAACACAAGGAACAGGCAGCCTCAAGATCCGATTCTTGGAAAGGAAATGACCAATCCAATTTTCAAAACATCTCGTTCATTAGCAGAAAGTTAGTTTCTTATAATTAATTCAGCGGCATAGGAAAGTCGTGTTTATTTTGATTCATGTTATTTATTTTATATTTTTTTATGATGATGAGATAAACAATTTAGAAAAATTTCTTTAGAGTTAATTTAAATTTTAATTCAATATTGGGGTGCTCGATTTGTTTAATAATATATGGGGTGTTACAAAAAAGTATGTAGATGGATATATTCCTTTGGCTCAAATAATTTATTAATATCTCATATTTGTTCTGAGATTTGAAGTGTAGTGCATGCCATACTCTAAACTAAATATATTTCTGTATAATTATCAGGTAAAAACTCATAGAACAAATAATACAAAAAGTTGCATGTGTCTTACCCTATGATCTCCCATTTTTTCTGACAAAGTAAATTTTTTGTAGCGGAGTTGAATATTTTTTAAATTATTGTAATTTATTTATATTCATTTAAAAGATACCATATAAAACTAACGCTTTAAAAAATTTAGGCTAGGCTAAATAACCATATACAATTAATCTAGTTCGTGGAGATATCACAATATATATTTTAAGAAGTTAATTTTGACACCCTGTATATTGAAAACCAAACCCTTAAATGGAAAGTGAGGCGAGGAAAGTCCCATTATTTTAACCAAACTTATCGACATAGTTTTTGTATGCTATTTCACACATTCAGTTTCTCAAAATTTAACTTGAAGAAATTCTGTCAAATGGATTAAGACAATAGTAAACAATTAACACCTGCTAATCGTTTTTGCTAGAACTTATGAAAGGATTTATATTTAAATTAAAAAAAATGAGTACTAAGTATACTACCTATTACTATTATATAAATTTATATTTTACCCTCTGAAAGTATCTAATGAGACCACTCGTTGTTTTTTCGGTTTCGGATCTTCTTCATTTCGCGTCGGCGACATTTTCCTTCTATACCGTGTAATTAATATGTATATTAACGCTATAACCCCAAAAACAAACAGGTTCGACACGAATACGGTTAAAATAGCTGAAAATAAAAAAAAACATTATTCCTTACATACGCTCCCAAGTATAAATTTTTATAAACCAAATTTCAGCGACTCAGTGCCTCTTTCCGATCATGTAATTTTAATAACAAAACTTAAGCGAGGATCGATATTCATTAAATGATCAGCTTGACTAACCCAAAAAACGATTTCGTTTATTTTTTTTTCCTTTTATTTGGGGAATTAAGCAAATACCACTCAGTTTTACAGTTCAACAATTATTTATAACTCTGTCGCATTAAGGAACAGAGCATAGACACTGCAGAACTTTCAAACCTATCAAATCTACAGGACTAATTATGGCGAATACCCCGTTATACTTGGGTCACGGACTTTTTATGTTTAATTTTTTGTTCTTACGTAGATAAATATTCACGGGCTCTTTTAATGTATCGACCACGCAGCCATCGCTGGCCACTTTAATGTTGTAAATTCCGAATTGTCCGAAACGCGGATCCAAATCGCAAATGACCGAGTCCAAATGGTCCTGCGGAAAATATTCCATTTTCTTCGTCGCTATCCTAAATTTTTGATCAGTCGCGGTCAGGTTAACCTTCGACTTGTCTAAAAACAAATACGGACACTAAAGAAGATTTTTAAACTAGCGCAAAATGGTTTTAGCCCGTCTTACTTCGACGCACTGTTTGTTTAACGTATGAACGTAAATGTTGTCTATGTTCACGTCCGAGTTTGCCGGTGTGACAGTAAAAAAATGTTGATCCATTTTAAGTTGGTCCATATCGAAGTACGAGTCCCCGAAATGAAAGAACCTGTCGCCGGTATAGTCGTCGATAAAGTTCCAAGACATGTCGAATAATTTTTTATATTTCTCTAAAACATACACGAATGAAACTCGAAATTACTTTAAACGGCAATAAAACTCACATTTCGAAATCGCCAAACATCGGAATTCGTGAAACTAAACCAAATCCATACGCGAGGCAATCAGCTTATCTCGAGAGAGATTCACTGATACTACAACATTCGACTACAATATCAAATGGCAAAAATCTCGATGAAAATACGTAAATAATCAAAGGAGATAAACGGAGTGTTTGTATCGTTGAAACAATCGGTTCCAAATGGTGAACTCGGTGTTAAACACTTCGAGTAAAAGTATCTTGCGTTAAAACTAGTCTTTCTCCCACTAATTTTGACCAGCGTCGCGCAGTCCTTTATTATATATACGTAATTTATGATTATATAAATAAAGTATTTCCACGTCAATAACGAAATTTGTTTATTTTATTTTATCATTTGCGTGACATCCGCACTCATATAATGAGTAAAAAGAATTATTTAGAAATAAAAAAATATTCCAGTGTTTTGATTTTTTGATTTATTGATTTAGTTGAACTCAGAAATCAAAAATATCTATTTTTTCCCATTTAATAATTCTCCTAAAAGCATACCCGCTTTTCCTGACCAACAAAACTTTTGAAGAAGTTATAAAAGCAATATTTTGTACTTCTAAGTATATTCATTTGAATGTGCTTTGCTCTAAGATTTTCTAAGAACTTATATTCCTAATTATAAATTTTATTTTATAAAAATGTTTTAACGAAATATTGTTTTTTCAGCGAATAACAATGTGTACATAATTTCAGTTGAAATAAAACTCCAAATCAGTACACCAGAACACCCTATTTTCCAATTTATATAAATAAACACGAGAAATACAACAACCAATACAATTTCCTCCTCCTCCTTTACATCATTAGAATTCGAGTTCCGATTGAACTAGATAATCAATTTGCGCCTCCAACAGACAAATATTACAATACTATACGAACACGAAATAATGTTTTCTGGTTTTTATTAAACTTGTCTTTAGACAGTAGTTCAAATAAGCTGGTAGTCAAAGTGAAAATGTGTTCACCATGGTAACAAAAGAGTAGTTCGCCAAGTCAGAAAGACATTATATAGGTGGAAATTATCTGGTTCAATAGGAGGTGAATGGCAATTAAAACAACCGAACTTCATTATATTAATATTTCTAGCTTATAAGAATCTAAACCACTCGTCGATAGTTCGATTCTAAATCGAATTCATAGTCATCGTCACACAATTAAGTACTGGCTACTGGCACTTTTGTAACTAATATCGAAAAAGAAAACAAGTCTACTGTCTGAAGACCGCGGTTTAAAAGAATGGCGGAAAATGCAAATTATTATGTGAAATTAAATATATAATAATAATAATAATAATAATAATAATAATAATCACAATAATAATAATAATAATCGACTTGATCAAAAATAATCAATGTATATATGTACGAAAATATAAATATATATTAAAAATGTAGCCTAAGGTTATTCAAACTTTTCCCAGGTAAACTACAATCATCCTACCAAACTAAAACCTAGTTCATTTAGATAATGCGTAGAATCATAAATACATCAATTAAGATAAAATTTGTGCCAAAAAGAAAGAAAATCCACTGTCACACAATAACGCGTTTTACCACAAACCGAAACTCAATTTTACGTATTCGACGCGCGTTTCGCCAACCAAGCTGGCATCTTCAGGAAAAGATTAAAACGCGCGTCGAGTACGCAAAGTTGAGTTTCGGTTTGTGGTAAAACGCGTTATCGTGTGTTAGTACAGTGCCGAAGGTTCCAGTCAAGAGTTTCAAATCCACTGTTCCCAATGCAATAAAAATAATAACAGATTTATACCTAGTAACAGAAGGCAATAAATAAATTTGAAAAAAATATATTTGCCTCTTAATACTTAATAAATGTGCAATAAACCAAAGAATTATAAAGTTCTGGTATAAGTAACACCTTTTGTGTATGCTGCTGTTCTGTGCCTTGGTATCAAAAATTTTAATTAATTTCTGGTGTCTCTGTTATGTATATCAGAGTCAGAGCTCAAATTCATTTGTAAGACTTTTTAAAGAAAGAAAAGAGCTTTTTGCTAAACCATGTACAAAACAACCCAAGCCCTTCGAAAAAACATGTTCAACCTGTGGGGTATATTAATTTTATATGTTGTACGTTTTGAATTCTATGTTGCTCCAACTGATAAAGCTTAAGATATATACCCTTTGGGTAAGAATGTTCAGTAAAGAGTAAATTGGAATCATGCAAGACAACAAAGTTACGTGCAATATCACTAAAAGTTAAATTGTGGCCGTGAATACTAACTCTCAAATTTTATATTAAGAAACCTCTATTTATCTTCTAATCAAATAGCAGTAATTTGGATTTGAAGGCATTCAGTTTTCGTTACTAAGAAAGATTAACTAATGGCCTGCGTGTAAATATTAAAATCAATAGAAGGAAAGTGATTACAGAGCTGTGTGTCATTGCTTGTAGATTTAAAAACATAGAGTACCGAGTATAGAGCCTTGGGGCACCCTAGAAAGCACATTACTGGACTCTACAAAAACATCATCCACCATAACCTTTTGTGACCTTTCACAAAAATGAGATTCGACAAGATATCATGATCCATTCCCAAACCCATAATATGTAAGTTGATAATGATATCTACTCGTCTTTTACTATCGTTACTAGAAAGAAGAAAGAGTTTTAAAACATTTGTCTTATAAGCTTTATAAAATAATTTCATTCGTCAATTAACAGATAATGTTTAAACAGAATGACACACATTAAACAAAGCACAAACTATAAAGAGAAGAAATATACGATATATATATATATATATATATATATATATATATATATATATATATATATATATATATATATATATATATATATATATATATATATATATATATATATATATATATATATATATATATATATATACATATATGATGACACTATACTCCGGGATATCATCCGTTCGCTCGTTGAACTCCGACTGGAATCCTGCATCCGACTGGAATCCTGCATCCGACTGGAATCCTGCAAATCCTGCATCCGACTGGAATCCTGCAGACGTTTCGCCAAAATCTCACTTGGCATCTTCAATGCTCGCGCTCCGAAAACACTTCGAAGTGTTTTCGGAGAATATATATATATATATATATATATATATATATATATATATATATATATATATATATATATATATATATATATATATATATAAAGTGATATTTTTATACATTTTTAAATTCAACAATGACAAAAATAAATGTCGCGTTTATGTTGCTTGACGTATGTTTTATATTGGAATTGAAAATTTTAATTCTAATATTTTAATATTAAACAAATATTATATAAAATCCAAAGATTTTTTTTTTGTTAATTTAATTAATATTAATTAATATTTTGAGCTCTTTTAACTCGCTCATCTTATTCTCCTATCAACTTTTTTTCAAACTAAATAATTTAACCGCCATACGAGGAGTTTCTCGAGATATACGTATATATCGTATATGTGTTAATTAAAAAGCACCTTATAAATTTTTATAGGGTTAATACAGTAGCACACTGCCCCAATTTTTTATAGTTGTTAGAGATGGTACTATTTCCAGTCCGCATGCCGATTTAACATTTTATTTTATATTTTCAATAGTTAATCTGTCACGGACTGCATAACACTAAGTTCGTCTTCAAGAATAAAACATTCGGTGAATATTCTCAAAATATACCTATATACATTCTGAATTATAAAACCGTAATTGGGATGAAACCTACTAAAGCACTTACTGCATTCGAGCCAGCTCTATAATATACACCACTCAGTTTTGATTTGGTGCATTTGTTTATACGCCGGTAAAATCAGCTTAAAGCCCTTGCAAGCAGAAGACTCTCAAATGCCCCTTTAATAATCGATATGCGATCCCATTACAACGAAGCTATTTTTAATTTGATGATAATTATAAAGAGCATGGTTGCGTAATTTTCTTTGCACGTAAGTTGTTAAATATAATTCATCCACGAAAACATGGTTTTATGTCGAAATACAGTTATAATTTTCTGTAATTCGTAGTGACGTGATATAGAAATGAGACGAATACTTATGGAAACTAATTTTTAAGGATACAGAGGATCTTACATTTACTGATATGAGACAAAGCGAAAGATTGTATAATACGACCAAAAATATAGTGCATTTATTGCTTTGGCGTTTTACCCATCCCAACAAATGTTTATTCTGCATTAAGTCGATTTTGCCTGAAATGAACGGCAACGAATAACATCAGGTGATATCTATCATTCTTAAGAGTTTAATCTAAATTGCAATATGTTCGTACATATTACGGATTTATTTAACTGTGACCTTTTCAGTCAGGTACTAATGGAATCTCAAAGATGAAACGTGGTTCGACACTCACGACGTAGTAATAAAAGGATGGTGTGATAACAGTAACAAGTGTGTACTGGACCATACCGCCATCACATGGAAAACGCATAATAATTCTTCTTCCTTCTGAGTCCAAAAATGATTATTGTCTGCCAAAAACGTCAAATATTCAAGTGAGGATTACCATGAAAACATGACCGCGGAAATATTTGAGTACTGGTTGAAAATAAACTATTGCCGAAACTATCGCCAAATTCTGTTATTGTGTTGGATAATGCCTCGTATCATTCAGCCCAAATTAGAAAAATTCCAAATACTTCTTTAAAAAAAAGAAGAAATTAAAGAATTTCTGTACGAAAATAATTTATATTTTGAAAAGAGCTTCACGAAGAAACAACTTCAGGAATTATTAAAAATAAAACATTTTAATAAAGACAAACCCAATAAATGTTTAACGATGTTATTACCTATTTTTATGGGGTAAAGGCATTAACAAAAAAATTGTTCTTGCTTGAGTGGTAAGGCAGGGGCAGGCCAGGTATATTTATTTTTATCTTATTTCTTGAATGTTGTGAGTTTTACTGTGCCTTTCGAAAAATTTTTTTACGAGAATATAACAATGTCGCGTGGAAATCATTTATCGCTACATGCAAAACAGGTTGTGAAAAATGTTTTTGGAACTTTAATCAATTGAGGAGTTATTCAACAAGAAGCTTTACAAGAAATTTGTCTACAAACAAAAACGCCCATATCGTCTATAGAGGATATGGGAATAAACGTAGTGAATTTCAAACGCACCGCACAGACAGTAGTGATAAGGGCATAATAAGAAGGATTCA